CGTGTATCAGTTTTGTTTTTCAGCTGGGACAGCGATAGGCATTCATTATGGTTGTCGTTGGTACCGTATCGGAGCAACTGTGGGGTAACCCGTTTGCTGTGATGTTAAAACTGTGATTACCCAGTACCTGTTTCCAATGAATGGCTTTTATCGTCATTGAAACATTTAGACTTTTAAGTATATAATTTAATTCTAATGTGTCCTGCAAAACTCTCACTTCTGTTCTGTAACCCAAACTTTAATACCGATAAGTTCGTATGCCACGTTCAAAGGGATGCAACTCATAAAAGTTAAATTTAATCATGATTATTGTAGCCAGGTTTGTTGTCTACCCTTGGCGGGTTTTACACACATTTTAATTTTGTGTCGCCCTGTTGGGGCACTTAACGCTTTGCCATGCAACATCGTCCCAAAAAAAAAAAAAAAAAACACCACATAACACAATGCTGAATTATTTTTACATGAAATAAATCAGCTATTACGGGAAATACCGTATAAAGTGTTAAGTGTTAGATAAGACATCGACTTTTGTCATCCTCTTGTAGGATGCAATTTTTCGTTATTTGAAACCCTACTCTGGCTCTTGCCAGTGGCCACGTTATAGCCCTGCCTTAAATATGACCTAATGGCGGAAGGCGGTTTCTGGGACCTCTCCACGGCGATCCTCATCCGCATGGTGGCACTTTGTGTCATCAGGTGTTTATCGCTTGTGTGATGTCCTAGTGGGGTAAAAAAAAAAAAGATCGATAAGACATAAGCTAATTCCACCAGCAACAAACGGATGGGTGGAAAGCTGATGTGAAGAATTAAGACATACAAGAGAATGGACCTACAAGGCGAAGGAGTGTAGAGATAAAGAGCATTATTATTACATAATCTGGAGTAAGAAGTTGTACGCTACTAACAACTGCTTTACGTAAGGCAGATTAGGACGCTGCTCATCACGAATCATTTTTTGCTGCAGTTAAGAACCAACAACAAAGCACTCGAGACATTTCTATCAGTGCTCCGTCTCCACTTTCTGCAGCCAGCACAGACTTCCAATTCCATGAAACCCGCAACAGTGTGACTATATGTCCGTTTTGCCTCCCCCCTACCCTATGTGTTGACTATCGTCCGCATCCATTGGTCACTCCCTGTTGACAATGAATCCTCATCAGACTGTGACGGTCTGTTCGTACTTCCGCACTGATCCCAAAGAGCCTTGGCCATACACATCTTGTCATGCATCAATTTACCACAGAGTTATGCAGAACCAGCCTGTCTGGCTTTTCGTTTTTCAGTCGTGGAGAAAATATCTAAAGGACGCCAACTAATTCAAACCTCTGAAGCGATGTTTGCCACACTCTGCATCGAGAATACATCTCAACCTTTCTCAACACACTTTGTGAGTCCCTCACAGTCCCAACATGTCAGTGCAGACGGTTTTTTGTGTGAGTCTCTCACAGTCCCAACATGTTAGTGCAGACGGTTTTCAGGACAGAAGAAAAACCGTTTGATTTAATCTATGATTCACAGAAATAAACAGAGGTGAAACCCTTGAAATATTATATACATAACAAACAAAAAATGTATTGATTGGCGCTCGTAGAAATAAGTACATGACACAGTACTGGTAGCTGGTAATACAAAATGGTCTACAATAATTTTTGGACATTGTAGTGAGGGAGATTGCAAAAAAGGGCCTGTCGTTAAACATAAAGAAAACGGAGGTTGCGGTTATATCAAAGAAAAGAATACCACCACAGTGTGATATTAGAATCTTCTTCTGTGCGTTCGGTTTCGTTTGCTCAGATCAGACCATTCAGGTGGGTTGCCTCAATTAACTCGCATGTCAGTAGCAGGTCCTTCATGGCTCCCCATTGTTTGCTCTGCACACTTTTCTCTTGAGGACAGGTTTCTTTTCAAAGTTGTATGTAGAGTGGGCAGGTCTGCAGAATGTGCTCAGGTGTTCTGTTTGACAGGCACACTGATGGGGACTGTACAGTCTTTATTTTATGCATGTGGTAGTTGAGCCTGCAGTGTCCTGTTCGTTGATGGAAAATTATTGTATGTTGCTTTCTGTTAGAGTCTGCTGATGGGGTCTTGTGGATGTTTACTGTTTGTTTGTTCTCTCCACAATTCCTTGTATTTTCCCTTGATAAGTGTTCTGATGTCTGGTAAGGACAATGAATGGGTGTGTTGTTTCTCCTTTTTTTTTACAAGTCTGTCTGCTAACTCATTTCCTGGTATACTGCAGTGAGCTAGGATCCACTGGAGAACGATTTGTTTTCTGTGAGTCTGTTAAATAGGCGGGTCAGAACTCTCTCAATGTTGTCTCGGGGATTCCTCTTGAGTCGCCTGGAGGACTGACATGCAGTCACAAAGAAAAACAATTTTGCCAATTTAAATTAATTTTTTTTCTCAAGCACTTTGGCTGAATCGATAACTACTTGCTGCTCTGCTCTGAAGCTTGTTGAGAGTCGTCCGAAAGCTCATGATGTTTCTACTGTGGTCCCAACTTGCAGCATGATGTCGATCCAGCTCCTCCACTTTTTCTGTTTCCTCCACTGATCCATCGATGTATTAGTGTCCATTCTGGTTTTAGATAACATGTTCAAGGTTCTTTGCATGCAGTACTAGGTCACATTCTTTAGCCTTTTCGTCTATGCCTGGAATTGTTGTGACTGTATAGTTAGGCTGCAGGTCCATTCTGTATGCCTGGATCATTTCCCACCTTGAAAGATCTTTAGAAAGGATCTCACTGTTTTTTGTGTAATACAATTCCGATAGATGGTGAAAGCTGTCTTTTCAGTTATTTGCTATTGTGTGCATACTGGGGCAGTCCCGGGAAGTAAAGGCGGCCGGCGTGATGCTGACCACATCACCCATCTTGTGTCGATTGATCTATAAAATATAGGTCTAGCCCTATACACCTAAAGGCGTGGAAAAGGGTCCTAATTGGAAAAGGGCTAATTGTTCATGCATTTAAATTTGTCTGTTAGGGTAAGCATCTTTTCCTCCCTTCGAAGGCTCAAGCTCTGGAGGCCAGAAGTTGCCTCCAGTTCATTAATTGGTGTGCTTCTCATACATCCAGTGATGATTCTGAGACCAGTGTTCTGTATTTTGTCCAGTTTGTGTAGGTTTGATTTGGCTGCAGTGGAGTATGCCCCCATGCCATACTCCAGTTTTGGTCATAGGTTTCCTGTGTATACTTGTCGTACACTGTTAGCATCTACACCCCAGCTTGTTCCAGTAAATTTCTTCATAAGGCTGAGCCACAGGGTGTCTTCAATGTGGAGGCCCCAGGTTACTCTTCTGTTGAATTTAACTCCCAAATATGTGGGATTATCCTCTTTTGGAAAGATGTTGCCTTATAGGTACAGATCAACTTGTTTTGACTTTGTGAAGAAGTTTCACTGGCATAAAAAGAGTCTTGTACTTACATTTTTTTTAAACAGGAAAGAAAAACTGAACACCAGCAGTGCATAATAATTATCAGGTCATGCCAGTGTGTTGGGAAATGAGCAGGTAGACAGACTGGCCAGTTCAGCACCACTTGGTGGTAATTTGATATATGACAAGGTAGATGTTATAAGGGCTGTTTGGGAGCAATAAACAGTGTGGAGGCACAGATAGATCATTTCTGTAGGAGGAGAGTGGCGCTGCGAGTAGTTACCTGGGCTGATGCTCAATACTCAAGGGGGGAAGGCATGATAGATATACAATCGGACAGTTAGTGGTACCAACTGAATTGGAACTCTTCGCCTGCTGCTGAAAAAAAGGGGATGGAGCGCTTTGAGAGTGTCCTGAGTGCTATGATGTCAATTCTTAATTCAACCTTCCTGAGAAGTTCTATTTTAAAACAGCCAATAATTTAGCCAAAAGAAGTTAAAATAATAAAACTGTGGGCAGAAGGAAAAAACTAACACCTCAGATCAATAAGTTAATGTAACAACTGTTCTATCACTTCAGATCAATAAGTTAATGTAACAACTGTTTTATCACTTCAGATCAATAAGTTATTGTTACAACTGTTCTATCACTTCAGATCAATAAGTTATTGTAACAACTGTTCTATCACTTCAGATCAATGAGTTAATGTAACAACTGTTCTATCACTTCAGATCAATGAGTTAATGAAACAACTGTTCTATCACTTCAGATCAATAAGTTAATGTAACAACTGCCACTTCAGATCAATGAGTTAATGTAACAACTGTTCTATCACTTCAGATCAATAAGTTAATGTAACAACTGTTCTATCACTTCAGATCAATGAGGTAATGTAACAACTGTTCTATCACTTCAGATCAATAAGTTAATGTAACAACTGTTCTATCACTTCAGATCAATGAGTTAATGTAACACTATCACTTCAGATCAATGAGTTAATGTAACAACTGTTCTATCACTTAAGATCAATAAGCAAATGTAACAACTGTTCTATCACTTCAGATCAATGAGGTAATGTAACAACTGTTCTATCACTTCACATCAATAAGTTAATGTAACAACTGTTCTATCACTTCAGATCAATAAGTTAATGTAACAACTGTTCTATCACTTCAGATCAATAAGTTAATGTAACAACTGTTCTATCTCTTCACATCAATAAGTTAATGTAACAACTGTTCTATCACTTCAGATCAATAAGTTAATGTTTGTGAAGACAGAACAGCCAGAAATCTTGCACCATCACTAGACTAACTACTGAACATATAACGACTTCCATAGTACTGCAAGAGTTAAATAAGCAGGTGGCACATTGTGCACCTGTCAACCCAACACATTCCATTTAAACAAACTCTTAATTATTCGCCTTTTATGACATGTTTTTTAAGGGGTAGTGGGTCAACCCCCCTCCCCCCTATCACAAGCAGCCCAGGAACCCATAGAGGCAAGGGTGGGGGGGGACACATTTTTTAAAACGTAACTGCCACGCAAGTTCTGTGTTAGAATTCAATCCTTTCTTAGCAGGGCACATTGACACTTCCGTAAAATCAACAATGAACGATATGTCAGCTATCAGGATTTAATCTTTTCTTCAGCACAAGTGTTGTCACTGTCTGGCCAATCTTTCCTCCAAATGTGTATCTTGGAGCAGGAATCTCACAGACGGTTTCAAAATCTGAAAAGAGAATCAACAAAATGTTTGGTTTGCTGTGAGAAGGATTGCTTGCATTACATACAGATACTTCAACGACTGCTCCAATTTCTTCATGCAGATCACAGAAGATAGAGTTCAGGTCTGTAAAACTCCACAACACCGACTCATGAAAACTAACAGGGAGAACAAGGAGACTGCAATGGAAAGAGAGAATTGTAGCACACTGACTAGGTGCTCTACTGTTGTCCTGAAGATATTTGGTTTAACCCTTCTACTCAGAGAAGCAAAAATACTGACATTTCCAGTTGGGTACAATTCCCTAAAATAGTCACTTTTGTGACTTATATAGTGACCTAAGTCGGCGTCTTCAAACGCGCTGCATAATGCCAATGTGCCAGGTTCAATCCGAACTGCAGGCGATTTAGCCGTAGACTGTCTTGCATTGGATTCAACTGTGGTATCGACAGTCGACCGTTTAGGAAGCAATGGCAAACTACTTAATGTAACATATGCCTAGAAACCCCACAACAGCCAAAAATGTTGGGGCTGCTTCTGCAACGTCCTGTAAAAGATATGCAACCTTCTTCTTCTTCTGTGTTCGACATCAGTCATGCTAAACATTGAGTAAAAGATATGCAACCAAAATGCAACTGTTTGTATAACATGCATAGTTAACACTCTTGCCTGAGTTCAAGTCTGCAAAAACATTTAGGGGGTCAGGATACTAATTCATTAACTAAAAAAAAAATTTTGAGGGTTTTCCTTTGATCTAAATGGCTTTTTAAAATGGCAGCTGACGTCAAATTTTCTCATAAGCCTCAGTGATAGTAGAGGTCGGAACTCAAGTCCTACTTAAACTGCATACTTAACAACTGGCCATTTTACTTAGGGTTTTGTCCAACGACTCACGGCTTGACTGCTGTGAGCTTTGGTGATTAACATCACATTTTAAAATGTCATAATAAAAAAACAGGACAGAATAAATTCTGCTTTGATTTATCAAGCTTTTACATTTGACTACTTCTTACAATTTTATTTAAAGTTACTGAGTATTTATAGTTACAGAGTTTTTGATTTTCATCATTTTTAATTGATCCACATTGTTCAATGCACGACTTGCAAAGGACTTGAAGAAGGAAGGGATTTAACTTCTGACTGGACTTGGACTTGATGGGTAGCGACTTAGTCCAACCACTGAGTGACAGGGGTCACTGCGTCACAGTATAAGTCACTATATACATTTGTGTTTTTTAAACCCTGGGGCACATGCTCCGATTAATGCTTCACTAAGTTTGTGTTTACTGATTGTTCACATATCTTTATATCTTTCAGATAAATACATTTTTTTTTCTTTTCGTGACCAGCCTAATAATTATTGCACGTTATTTTTACGGATTTTTTCTGCAATCGTAATGGGGTGATGACTATTATTTCTAGTGATACCCGGGCAAAGGGTTACATCTACACTGGGTGCATCTGGAAAAAACAATGAACTTGGTTTCCAGGACAGCCCAGCCTAAAAATGAGTACAGGATTAGTCCTGGGAAGTAAGGGTGCTCCGCATGATGCTAATCACATTATCCATTGAATGCTGACTGATCTATATAAATATCAGTTTAGCATCATTTGGCCAACAGACCAGTGGCATGAAACTGATCCTTAACTTGTTTACTTTACAATCAGAGAAAACAATAAATGGACAATGTATATATATATATATTCTTTGAAACAAAGAATGTTTTCATGAATTTTTGGACAGTGGTATCCGAGTCACACCCTAGGAGAAATGTAATATTCCTTAAGACTGCAGCCAACCTCTTTTGTGAAGAAGTCTAATAATCATTTAATATTCCCAACACACAGAAACAGGAGCTACCAGCTTGGAAGTTCTGTTCTAGCTGTTCCTTTGTCCAGTTGCAGGATGTGATGATCAGAAGCCCCTGTTCAGACAGCAAAGACTGCACATTTTGACCGTACTTGACACGGTCAGTGGAAGACTCTGCATCATGTAAACTGATGGCATCATAAGTTCCTTTATCTAGACAAACATCAAAGTGCCCATTGCGACATAAACCAGCCACTGATGATGGCAACAGAACATCACACACCTGCATGGAGCAACAAACAAATAGATATTAAACTTGCATTAAACACTGGTTCTAAATGGCAGCAAATTATGAACAATCACCTCATAGAGAAAATACAACCCTAATTATAAATATAATTATTTAGTTAGTTATTTTATACAGAAATTAGGAATTTATAAACTAGCAAAAATTACCAAGAAGCAGTTTTACATATTACCAATCATAAACAAACAATCAGTCACACTACAAAGATAACAAGAAACTAATGAAATACTTTTAAACATTACAGAATAAAAATAAACTGTCACACACACACACACACACACATATATATATATATATATATATATATGTGTGTGTGTACACACATATATATATATACACACATACATATATATATGTGTGTGTGTGTATATATATGTGTGTGTGTATATTTACACACACATATGTGTGTGTGTATGTATATTTACACACACACACACTCATATGTATATACGAGTATATATATATATGTGTTATCCTAAAGAGGTTGCAAATTCTAGTGGACAGAGTATACCCGGAATCACAGTGTGGGTTTAGGGCCAAGAGATCAACAGTTGATATGATCTTCTCCATCAGGCAGCTACAAGAGAAGTGCAGAGAGCAACAGAGGCCACTGCTCATTGCTTTCATAGATCTCACTAAGGCCTTTGACTATGTCAGCAGAGATGGTCTATTCGGGATCCTTGAAAAATATGGATGCCCACCTATACTACTGAGCCTAATCAAATCCTTTCATGAGAATATGAGGGGGACCATAATATATGAGGATTCATCATCTCGACCCTTCCAATTCGAAATGGAGTAAAGCAAGGATGTGTTTCTGGCTCCCACGCTGTTTGGCATCTTTTTACCGCATTATTGAGGCGTGCATTTGGGACAGCAACTGAGGGGATATACCTCCGTTCGAGGTCAGATGGCAATCTTTTTAATCTGTCCAGGCTACGTGCAAGGACAAAGGTGCACACGAGATGCCTCAGGGATTTTCTGTTTGCGGATGATTGTGGCATTCAGAGGATGATCTGCAGATCCTGATTAAATCGCTTTGCAAATGCTTGCAAAGAATTTGGGCTTACCATCAGTCTGAACAAAACAATGGGATTGAATGTTGGAAATCCACCAAACATTAGTGTGTATGACCATCAGCTGCTGGCTGTAAATGATTTGAGTACCTAGGCTCACGTATCTCAAGCAAATCATTTCTCTGGATGCAGAACTAAACAAACGTATAGGAAAGGCTCCTCTGATTTGCAATCCTCACAAAGAGAGTCTGGTCAAACAAAAAGCTAACTGATAATACAAAAATGAAGGTTTATGAGTCTTGTGTCCTGAGCACATTACTGTACGGCTGCGAATCCTGGACTCTCTATGCTCCACAGGAAAAAAGACTGAATACCTTCCATATGCGCTGTCTGAGACGCATCCTTGGTATATTATGGCGAGACCTTGTCTCCAACGAATGTATGCTCACAAGAGCAAAAATACCATCAATGTATTGTATACTGAAGCAAAGACGTCTGTGCTGGCTGGGACATGTCTCCCGCATGGAGGATGGTCGTATTCCAAAAGATCTCCTATATGGTGAATTGGTGACTGGGAATAGACCTACAGGAAGGCCGAAGCTGGGCTATAAAGATGTATGCAAACGTGACCTAATAGAGACATGGGAAAAATCAGCTGCAGATCGACTACTATGGAGACAGAAAGTGAAAGATGGACTGTCACATTTTGAAAGAAACCGAACACAACGAGCTGTGGAGAGGAGGCACCGGAGACTAAAACTGCCTCACAACGAGGGAGTATCTGCTTTTGTGTGTATCCTGTGTGGCAAAGACTGCCATTCCCACATCGGACTTTACAGTCACAGCAGATGCTGTTCCCAAAGCCAGCGGCACATATACATAGTCCCCCGGGACTGACGGATGCCATTATATTTATATATATCATGGTTCATTAGCCCATGAGAATCTTAGATCAGGCCTGTGTGCTTGTACTGATTTTGTTATGTGGCCAAGTAAAAGTAAAGCAAAAGTAAAGGCCCTTTTTTATAATCTTTCAGGCCTATTGGGCCTATAGAGCTAGACCTATTTTTATACACCAATCGGCACTTGGTGGGTGATGTGGTCCACAACACACCATCTCTCTTGAAACTGTTCATACTTCAATGTAAGTAACACTTCTTCCATTTGGGGAGGTGGGAGAAGGGATAGACCTGGTGACCCTTAAGCATGACATAAAAGGCAAAAGAGTTTGTTGAAATCAGATGTGCTGGACCACAAGGCGCAGATATCGCAGCCCAGATGCAGATCACAACACAATGTGCCAGCTGCCTTTTTAAAGCTAAATGCAGAAGCAGTAGTAGTTCCAACTTCATGGCAAATGGGTGCCTTTTGGGAGCGAGTGAACAGTGAGGAGGCACAGACAGATCATTATGGTCTGAGGAGAATGGCGCTGCCAGGAGTTACCCGGGGATCTAGCTGGCGCTGCCAGGAGTTACCCAGGGATCTAGCAGAAGCTCAATACTCAAGGGAAGGGCAGGACGGATATACAATCAGTCAGTTACTGGCACCATCGGAACTGGAACTTTTCGCTTACTGCTAAAGATGGGAACGGAGCGCTTATGGGGTGTCCCGGGTGCTGCGATGTCGATTCTTAATTCAACATTCGGCAAATGGGTCCCCACCCCCCCCCCCCCCCCATAACCACAGCAGCAACCTCCTCCCCTCTCCCCCCCCCCTAATACCTATCATTGATCCATGTAAAAAGTTGAACGGATAGCAGTCCTTACAAAGCCAGTAGCATGCATACACATTAAATGCATAAGGTAGCCACCAGATATGCAACATCAACTCTAATGCTCCATGAACCCTTTCCTCCGCCTCTTTGTACTTACTTTCAATTTTATGTCAAAAAACTGTCACTACTGTCTGTATGTACCACTTTTTAGGATGGTAGACCGGGAGGGGGGTCAAGAACCTAAGGATTTAGGACTGTGTGGCTAGTGCTGTCGCCATAGACTGTACAGGTTATGATGTTTAATTTTGCCCCCAACAGAAAAACTCCATTAACGGGGAACAAACCTGGGTCTCCTACACGAGAGCTCCCGTTGTAACTACTCAGACAGACGATTCTCTTTCAACTTTATGCTGGAGGATAATTCATTCATTCATGCATTATTCTGTCGTGCCATTATAAATCACATAGGGCTCGCAGTCTATTCCTCAATTCCCTTCTATCCTATCCAGTTTAATATCATGGATGCAATCGTCCAGCAGCATTGCCCTTTCACATCAACGTTCATCTTAGGGTTCCTTTTTGGCATCCTCGCCTCCTTAATTTGCTATTTTAATGCCTTCTGGTCAATCTCTGCTGGTTTTTTCTTAGGATTTGTCCAATTTAGTGCCATCTTCTCAGTCTTATAACTGTTGAAACCAGTCGTTGTCCAGATATTTCTCTTATTATTTCTTCACTCTTTTTTAATTCATCCCATTTTATTTTCATCACTTTCCTGAGTCATTTGTTTTTTAATGCATTTAACTTTCGTTCCACGTCTTCAGTGGTTCTCCAACTTTCACATGTTAACAGTGAAATAACATTAGGACCAAAAATAAGTAACTTGGTTTTAAAACGATACAACTTAGAGTGCTAGATTTTGTTCAAGCTATTTAAAAGCTGCTGATGCCTCGCCAATGCGTGTCATAATTTCTTTCTTTATATTTTCTATCACTATAAACAGAGAATTCTGGCAAATACCTGAAATGTTGACTACAATAAGTAAAAAAGTAACCTAGCAAAGGACCCTTTTCCACGGGTTTAGGCATATAGGGCTTGACCTATATTTTGAAGACCAATCCGCACAAGACGGGTGATGTGGTCAGCATCACCCCGGCCGCCTTTACTTCCCGGGACTGCACTCGGTACCCATTCAAGGCTGGTTCAACCGGGCAGCCAAGAAATTTTTTTTAAAGTCCGGCTCCACCAGAGAGCGAACCTACAACCTTTCAATCCGCGGCGAGTGTCTAGCCACTCCACCATGGCAACTCCCGTTGACTGCAGAATTTGCAATCAAAAGTCTAAAGCAGTGGTTCTCGGTCAGCTAAGATCCGCTGATCCTCTAACTTCCACAAATATGCCACAGACCAATTTACTTTTTGCCAGTCATACTTCTTATTCTTCTTTTCTTTGCGTTCACCAGCTGTAAACTCTGGTGGAAAGTTCTGGTTGTTCGCCCACTTCTGGACTGCAGTCCTATTCCATAACCTGAGTGTGCATCCGTTTGACAGATCTGATACATTTGTGTGCAGACTGTTGGTTCCTTGCCTCTGAGGTAGATGCACTCCGACTTGGAAGAAAGCTCCCAATTAGTCGACTCTTACGACATGCCCATGGGTAGGCAGTGGATCTATTCTTGTTTTTCCTATAATAGGGCTCGGGAACCCACACGGGGTGCCAGTCATACAGAAAAACTTATAATTATAAATATCACATGAATGGTTGAGAATGCGGAGCTTTCATGTGGGAGACTCTGATTCGACTCCTCGGTTAGACTGTGGATTTTTTCTGTCGGGGGCATACACAAAATCTGAATCTGCACAGTGTGGCGACAGCACTAGCCATGCTGCCCTAAATCCCCAGGTTCAAAGACCACCCTGCCTACAACACAAAGGAAGTCAATACAGGCAGTAATAAAGATAAAAAAAAAAAAAAAATTAGGATCACTAAATGTATTGCATTCCAAATTTTATATGACAAAAAAAAATGAAGGCTGTGTTCACAGAGCATAATTTAAAATTATATGACAACTCAAAGATAGAACAACTCAGACATAACCAGGCTGCAGGAATGGGAAAGCAAAAGAGATAAAACCAGACAACAGCCCTACACAGAGGGCTAATAAACAGTAGTAATAAACACATAAATGGTATCACAAATTACAGCACACCGATGGAAACACATAGGAGGGGATCCAAACCTAAAACGACTGAATGCGCATGAGGCTTATCTGATGACCAATTTATTTATTTTATAACAGTTTTCTTGTTCTTCTTTACCTCCTCTTTTACTGCGCTGGGTGTTGAGAAAGAGAAAGTTCTGCTTTTTTCTCTTCCGTGTTGTTATGTTTCTCTGATGTTATCTTTCCATCTTGTTCTTGATTTACCTAGCGCTCTTCTTTCTCTTTTTTGGTGTATGCTATGGTGTCACAATGTTACAAATACAGCACTCACCTCAAATTGAATATCTGTGACACCCTCCTTCTGTGCAATACTTCTGGACAATGAGACTGCACCTTCTGAATAATCTACGCCAGTCAGGTCTGTAAATCCTTCGCTTCTCTGGATGAACAGTGAACAAAAGAGTTGAACTGATTTAGTCCAGTGTTTCCTAAACTTTTCTTGGTCGCGGCACCTTTTTTCAACTAAAATTTTTCCACGGCGCCCTCACCTAAGTAAAAGTATGACTATTCGTGTCTTGGTTAAATTAGTTATCAAGCTTTTACAATATTTCCCGGTGCTCCTGAGAAGAGTTTGCGGCTCCCTGGGGAGCACAGTTTGGGAATCACTGATTTAGAGTATAAAGTTTTTACTTCAACATTGTCTTTAACAGGGTGTGTGCACTTGTAGTGCCTTAATGAGTTAAATTAAAAAGCAGAATGAGACGAAGCAGTAATTAAGGCACAACAGGTCAGAGTAAAAGAAGAATGAGGTAAAAGAGGTGAAGAAATGTATACCATGTACAGAGTGATCAACAAACCTAGGATGAGTTGCCTGGTATCAAAATGTGGACAGACCAAAACAAGTCATTATCTTCCGCCTCAGAACAGGGCACAACCGATTACGTCACCACATGTACACAAAATTCAAGATAGGTGTATCAGCCATGTGCACCTGTGGAAATGTGCCCCAGACCGCAGAGCATGTACTCCAGGACTGCACCGATTTTGACACATTAAGGCAAACCTTTTGGCCAGAAAGAACAACAGTGGAACGTAAACTCTATGGACCACTGAATGAACTAACAACGACAGTGAGATTTATACAAGAGACAAAACTGCTGATATAGATAACTTATTTCAGGCGAACGAAAGAAGAAGAAGTATCAAAATGTTAATTGCATATACTTTACAGGATGTCATGAAGATACCCAAGCAATTTTTTTATTGGGGAAGAAGGGGCGGGTGAAGAGGGGATGTACTAAACATGTTTAAATTCAGGAGTTTACCATTTCTTTCTAGGTGCTCAACATATCATTGTCAAAATCAACAGTACCCACAATCAAAAGAGTATGAATACTTAATAGTCCCAAAAGCCACTTGGTTTACACAAATCTTTGGTTTATGTTGGGCTCTATCATTTTCTATCTTCATCAGTCATAGCTTTAAGTTATCACTGATTTATGTGTCTTTATGCAACACGTGATCATTCATAAAATTATCACCTGCCAACCTTTCACACAACACCACACTGTAATTGTTTTTTCTTCTTTCCATACTAAAGTTCCCAATAGAGATAACCCATAACCATCTCCTGTGTTCCTTTACATGATCTACCCACATAAATCACATCTATAATTCTCTGCAGTTTCAACTACTTTTACATTTATCTAGAGAAAGATCTTTTTTTACATCTGAGCTGGCTTTTGCTTAGACTTTGCAGCTAAATTTTTCTATAGAATGGTGTAATCGGCTTCATGCCAATCCTACAGAGTCCCTGCTTGTGAAATATTTGGTAGTGACTGTGTTACTATGAATTATCTTTACTTCTCTTGTAGATCCAGAGACAGTTCTGAAACAAATAATTTTCAACTAATAAAATTAATTACTTTTTATATGGAGGTAAGATATGGTAATAAATGTATTTTTAAACTCTTCTGGTCCACAAAGGTGTTATTTTAACTCAGTATATTCTAAGAAGTTGTTACATTAACTAGTAAGAGTGAAGGAGTTAAAATAATAACACTTTAAGATACAAATGGTTCAATTACCAGCTGGAATAGGGTGGATTAGTGTAATAACTGGACAGTGCTTAAGTATATTTTGTAACTAAAATCCAACAAACATACAGTACATTTTTTTTATACTGAAGCAGTTCAGTAATCAAACAGGGCATAATCAAAAACACTTAAAAACAGTGTAATTTTAGACACTTATAATGAAACACAAAAATAAATTTCTGAAAAATCTAGTCTGAAAACAGCTTAATATTATATTTTAATGTTTAATGTAATTACCAGATGACAATTAAATTAGTTATGCATCAACAATTAAAATGCTCTTCTACCCGAAAAGTTAAAAAGATGAATTATAAACTAAGGATGAAAAAAACAAAGGAACACTTACAAGTGCTAACAACAGCATCCCATTTCCACAGCCAATATCTAAGATACGTGAAGTTACCGGTAACTGGGATCTCTTTGTTACCCATCGAACTATTCTGTCTTGCACTTCCTCTCCAAACCTGCAGGAATTTGTAATCATACTTTTTAAAAATCACTGAAAGAGTTCCAAATACTAAAAAAAAATCAATCACTGAAAGAGTTCCCAATACTTAAAAATAAATCATTGAAAGAGTTCCCAATACTTAAAAATAAATCATTGAAGGAGTTCCCAATACTTAAAAATTAATCATTGAAAGAGTTCCCAATACTTAAAAATTAATCACTGAAAGAGTTCCCCATACTTAAAAATAATCACTGAAAGAGTTCCCAATACTAAAAAATAATCATTGAAAGAGTTCCCAATACTTGAAAAAAATCCTTGAAAGAGTTCCCTAAGACTGTAAACATCTTCACTGCCTCTGTTCATTACTTTTTAGGGTGGCACAGAGCCACAAAACTCTCAGGACTGCAATGCTTGTGTAGAAACAATACTGTGCAGATCTGAATTGTTATTGCTGCTTCCAACAGAAATATAATTCCATAATACTGAAGATAGTGAAGTATCAAATAAAATGTTACAATCAACAAACAAATTTAACATTTTGTAATAAACTATTAATACCCTGTATTCATAATTAAAAACAATGAGAATTGATCAAACGTTAGAAGTAGACTGTCCCCTGAAATGCAGAGGTGAAACAGCATAATCTTTTCAAACTGTGAGAATCTCTAAGTTGGCTAACCATCTGATTTTTTTTTTTTTTAAAGTTGTATAATTTCCTTCCTTTTTAGGATGAAATTTTTCGTTATTTGAAGCCCTACTCTGGCTCCGCCAGGGCCGCAATATAGCCTGGCCATAAATATGGTCTAAAGGCTGAACGCGGGTTCTGGGACCTCTCCACAGTGATCCTCACCCACATGGTGCACATTGTGTCATCGGGTGTTTATCGCTTGTGTGATGTCCTGGTGGGGTAGAAAGTCAGTCAGTCAGTCACCATCTGATTTGCTTTTTTTTGTATGTAATTGAGAAACGGCTCTGTGCCGACTTTAATTATATCAACCACATATATACACTGTGCAGTTGGAACCAGTACCAAAGCTGTTACATAGGCTTACTGTCCAATGACGTCATGTCACTTTTTGTTGTTGTTATTGTTGAATCTAAATGTAGGAAAAAGGACACTTACATGGTGACAGGGTTAAGAGTCAATGATACAACACCAGTAAATAAATAAAAGTAATAATATGAGAACATGCATCTGTTCAAATGTCAATCAGCTACCATCTCAAAATCTACTTTAGCCCCACTCTACGTGTAGCGGCGCAGGAGATACTCTCGGCGGTGGCGGCAGTCGCCGGAAGTCCGCAATTTACATGTAAATGAGGCCCTGTAAGGGCATATTTTTGGCCTCGATAATTTGGGACCGTTACTCGGAGGATAGCCGAGCCCTGGAACACATAAAAGGATCTACCTCATTCAAGTTACTGAATTCACAGTGTGTAGGGTTAGACACTCGCCTGCTGGCCCAAAAGTCTTGGGCATGAATCCACATCATCAGATTCTTTTCTAAACTGACCCTGGCTCTCAGGCTGACATAACAATAAATGAGTATCAGATAATGTCCTGGGAAATAAAGGTGTTTAGCATCATATGCCCATGCACTACTGGTTTAAAAATGGTGTATACTTTTTTACTTTTACATTCATGGACCAGCAAGAAGCAGGAGAATACTAACCAGATTTCGCCCGTGTCACCAACATCTTGAAATACTTTCAGTTCTCTGGAGTAAGTATCCTCCCAGCTGAGGACAAAAAAATATATGTATGAAACCATGCCAATCTTTAATTAAAGGGGGTTAACTGCACTGTACAGAATACTAGTTTGTGTTCGTAACAATGGATGTCTTCATAGTTAGTCTTTGTTCTATTTCTGCATGCAAATGTCGCAGTTTGACAGCATAGCTTTTTTTTTTTTTTTTTGATTATTAAATGTTATCAAGCTATGATTTAATTTGTTTGTCACTTTCTCTCTCTCTAAACCTTTAATGTGTACCTTTTATAATGTGCTTCCTCTTTCTCTAGTTACCTCATCAATGTGCTTATTACCAAACTCAGTTACACTGTTGTGAGATGCAATTTTTCGTTATATGAAGCCCTACTCTGGCTCTTGCCAGGGGTCACAATATAGACCGTCCATAAATATGGTCTGGTGGCTGAACACGGTTTCTGGGACCTCTCCATGATGATCCTCATCCACATGGTGGCACTTTGTGTCATCGGGTGTTTATCGCTTGTGTGATGTCCTGATAGGGTAAAAATCTACTACTACTACTCATCAATGTGTTGGGGGCGAATTGAAGAATATTCAGTTTTTTTTTCTAATCCACCAAATAAATTGATCTTAATTTATCTGTGCTATTCCTAATGTCATATTTCCATCATGTGTGTAGTCTTCTCTTTGCTTAGTGTCCTTTGTATTTTTTGTTTTTAAAGCATGGCTCTCTGAGGCAGTCTTGTCAGATGGCCATACTATCTGCTCTTTAACTCAATTCCCAGGGGTTTTAGAATCAGAAGCCAGAGGGGTAGTAAAAAGAGGTGTAAAATCAGCGCATCTTGTGTTCATTGGGTTTTTAGATAGGAACCTGTGAACGTATGATGCATTTCTTGAGAATGAAAGAGGATGTATTTCTTGAGAATGAAAGAGTTAAAGTGTCTGACTGGTTTTAAGTCCTAGTCATTTTTAATGTTATATATTCTTGGTTACTATGTCAGCTTTTCTAAGACATGTCAACTTCTCTGCTGTGATTTTATTCAAGGGTCTATAGTCTAAGTGTGATACTGATAGCGCCGATTTGATTAAAAATAGTTTTTATTAGATTTGCTTTGACAGACAAAGGTATCCTTTTATAGGTCATAAGTGGTGTTAGTTGTTCCAAGGCCTGATTTTTTTTTTTCATATAGCATGTCGATTTCTATATCTTCCTTCTGATGCTCAAACTAGCCTCAGATATTCATATTCACGTATTTGTCCCATCTGTTAATCAGGCTCTCCTGTAAACTATGGCCGGTAGACAACAGTAGACGGCCGGTTAGTCGAAGTTCTATCCCCTTGCTGCAGTGCAATTACGGACTGGAAAGGAGGGAACGAAACAACTGACATAATTACTGTGTGTTGGCGATAGACAGCGTGCACTGCCCTGCTATAATCATACGGTTACGGTCTGGGTTAGGGTTACGGTTAGTTAGTGTCGCCGCATCTCGTCTTCGCACAAACTCATAGTAGCAACCCAAACCCTAACCGTATGATGACAGTAGGGCACTGCATGCTGTCTATCGCCAACACACAGTAATTATGTCACTTGTGTCGTTCCCTCTAGTCCACTCCGTAATGCATCGCAAGAAGCAGTAGTTGAACGCGGTCGCTAATTTGAGTCGCAGCGCGGGGTCTGCAAGGCATGTCAACCTCACTGTGTTTTCTGATTCGTGCCTTCTCCAGTCCGTAATTGCACTGTAGCCAAGGGACAGAACTCCGACTAACCGGCCGTCGTTGTCTACCGGCCGTAGTTGACAGGAGAGCCGTTACGTCAATTATATCGTTTATACAATGAATCAACATCATGATGGCATATACATACTTTTATTATTTCTGTTAGAGTCTATGTCATTTCCACCCCCTCCCCCTTTTTTCAGGACAAACATGGGTACTTTAAATGAGAGTATTTGTTGTAATGACAGTTATGACACCTTACTGTACTACTCGGACACCTGCACATTACTATACGTATTATTATTATTATTAGTCAGTATGATAGCGTTGTTTGTGGCTAGACTGTTAGTGTTAGGACTTAGGAGTAGGACGCCTGGGTGTTGGTCTGAAGATCTTGGATCAGTCCAGCTGTGATTTTTTTTTTTCAACTGACCTCGGCTCCCACGTTAAATCATTCTAAATAAACTAATTTCTCACTATTCCTGAGTCCCTAAAACAGAGGAATGAAAGTCAGCATCGTCTCCACTCATCGTGCCGGTGTGGAATATTTCGACAACAACGATGTAATTTGAAGTAAATTGCCCCGGAAGTGAAAACCCGTGACCCGACCCGATGGCCAGCAAACGTCACTGGTCACGGGACACAGCGCCATTTTGAGGGGGATTGTTTTTGTTCTACCTGAATTCAGTTCCATGGAATTATCCCGTAACCTGCTGACGTGATACGAAACCACAAACAGGTATTATCATAGTTAAATGTATTCTCATCCCCTTCAAATATGCTGTGTTTTTTATAATCAGCTGGTCTGCTTTCAAAGCAAACAGGAGGCTGTGGTAACGACGAGATAATCGATAAGATAATCTAATAATAAATTAAAAAGAAAAATAATCAAAATCAGTCAACTTGATAATGATTCTAATTCTACCTCTAACCTTTCCTTAACTGTAACAATCTAGTACTCAACATCCCGCCCCTTCTCCTTCCTCAACAAAGAAACCTAAATCGAATTCCAATAGTTGTAAATCATGGATGACATCTCTTGCTTTTTATTTTACAAAGTCTGTTATTAATTTTAGTCAGCATAACTAATAAACAAATAGTAAATAATATTATTAAAATACTGTCGTTTCGGTTTATATTTTAATATTATAGTATCACTATATAAAGTGAATATAATGATATAATCACTTCTATATAGTGATAGTGATACTTTAAAGTATCACTATATAGAAGTGAATATAATGATACAATAATAATAAATAATTATGTGAGGAAAATGTAGACACTGCTGATTGACTGTTTGTCTGTTCCTTGGCACTGTACTTAAGTCATCAAAGGGATGCAGGCTAGGCTTTGGTACTTGACCGCTCGTCATGAATGTGATGTGGGTTGTGTTCATGTTGTATATTTGTTTTTGAAGTATTTCTCTATTCTTTCCAGTACCAGGGGGTTTAGCATCAGAGTACCAAGGAGTTGTCATAAAATATGCAGTTTTTAAATCTAGGAGTGTAAGTAAAGACTGAGACATAAAACAGACCTTACTAATACAGCTAATGTGCTAAAATATATCATAAATGAACATGAACCACTCAATAATGTATAAATAAAATATAAACAATCTGGCTGTCTTAAGAGTAACGGTCCCAAATTATCGAGGCCGAAAATATACCCTAACAAGGCCTTAGTCATGTGTCAAGTTGTGGACTTCCGCCACCACCGAGAGTAAGTATCTCCCGCGGCATGGATTGGGGCTAAACTAGATAGCTGGGACTCACAAGCAAATTGAAAGAAGCTGCAGGAAATGCGGTAGCTGTTGCTCGTGAGTCCCAGCCAGAAGTGCGTAATTTAGTCGCCGTACACGTGACTGAGGCCCTGCTAGGCCTCGATAATTTGGGACCGTTATTCGGAAGATAGAACATAATCTGTAAATTAGATTGTATTTCAGAAAAACTTTGAAAACATCATGATAGAGCACCATTACTTGGTAACAAACAAAACAAAAACTTCCTAAAGTTATAAACTTCACACAAAAATAGCTTATATAATATTCAAATTGCTTGTATTATGTTGCTACGTTCCTAAAAAATAAGCTTTGCCTTGCATGGGTTATACCCAGAGATATTCCTCATCAGCGCTTGAAATAAATAGCTGAAACTAATCTAAGTCTGCTGTTAATTTTGTCATCTGACTTCACGTAAATCTGATCCGAATGTTTTTGAGACTTCAGAAGCCATAAATTACATTAGTGAGCGTGAAGAAGACTTCAGTGGCCATATTGTTTTCAAGTAAACAATAAGTCAATGGGTAAATCTTGCAAACATATTATTATAGTTTATGCTTGTAAGCGAGTTTCCAAATAAACCTAATCACTAATCGAATGCCAAACAGATGTTATTTAATAGAAAATACCAGAAAGATGATTACAAATTGGTGATTCATGTTTTCACACTGAAGTAGTACATTAAAGATAGTTATAACTGGCAAATTTTCTTCCAATTGGAACTATGGAATAGTTATATAAGAAGGTTTTCTATGTTCCTTGGGACTGAAAGAGTTAATCATCACACAGAGAGGAAAAACTTTGCCCTGGACAAAGTTCACACATGCGTTAACACCCAGATTTCTGTCAATATCAGGAGTGGAATTCTGTGAAAATAAACAGTAAACCATTTTTTATTATTATTAATACATAATTGCTGCATTGTTGTTAAAACACTATATGGACAATGGACAAGTAAACAGTGTAACAATTCAATCATTATTCTTTCCACACCCTGCTGCCCAGTGTTATTAACAATATGCCCACTGTCAGACTGAACACTGCTTTGGGTGATTTTACCTTTGTAATAAGATAGTGTTCATTGTCCTTGCTATTTTGCTAATCTCTTGCTTGTTGGGTCATTTGATGAGTTGGAAACTGATATCACATCCCTTTTGATTATGTGTATGTCTTACCTTTCCTCTAAAAGTTGAATATTGGACACATTCTCTGGCTACTCCCCTTTATTTAAAGGAGTTGTTTTTCCTGCCCACATACAACCTTGGGCTGTAACTGATCTTGTCAAATTAGTACTAGGAATATTTCTGGAAATTAAAAAAAACATAGAAGGGAACTGATCAACTCTACCCATGGCATGCAGCCTTGCAGAGGTACTGATGTACTGGATAGTTTTCAGTTGAGCAAACATTTATGTTCTCAACCAGTTTTATATCTTGAGTTTTTTTTTTTTTTTCGCGCTCACCAGCTGTAAACTCTGGCCTAAAGTTCTGGTTGTTCGTCCACTTCTAGACTGCAGTCCTGTTCTAGAACTTGAGTGTTTGCGTATGCATCCGTTTTACAGACCTGACTCATTTGTATGCAGACTACTGGTTCCTTGCCTCTCAGGCAGATGCACTCCGTCTTCGAAGGAAGCTCCCAATTAGTCGACTCTTGCAACATGCTTTTAGGTAGGCAGTGGGTCTATTCTTGTTTACCTTATAATAGGGCCCTGGCACCCACCCACACGGGGAATATCTAAGTTTGATCCAGTTTTCCTTAAATGAATACTAGAAATGTGTCCTGAAAAATAAGACAGAGGAAGAGAGTTGATCTCTACATCTCATATCTGACATTGTATGGGTGAAGGTGTTGCACTTCCCATGTAGTATTGTCTGCCATGTTATTGTATATGGGAATAGGAAGGTTGAGATAAACATCCTGATGCATGGGACAATTTATTTATAATTTTTATAAGGGCATGTGAGCATTTGTAAACAAACAAATAACATCACAGTTTGTGATCACTTGACCGTCACATGCGCAGACTAGTAAATGAGGAAAGAAGATACTTATGGGCAGAGGGCAGGCTTGGGAATAGCCTGGATGCAGTGAAAGGATTAGTGAAGTAAAAAGCAATTGTTCACTTTTATGCTTGGATATTAGCACTCTTGTAGTTCATAATTCAGGGTTCAAGGTCCATTTGCAAGTTACATTGCAGAGGTCGCATGGCAGAGAAATCAGTATACGTTATGCAAAAGCGAGTTAGATTTAGGGACAACTAGCACCACTACTGACACATAGAAAGATGACTTTGTTCAAAGCAAATCTGCTAAACTGTTTTTAGCCAGCTGCTGTAAAGGGATGAACCATTACTTCAGCTGATGAGCAGAGATGAGACGTTTTAGAAGAGCTGTCGGAATGACAATAAGAGAAAATTAAAAAAGAAGAAAGACGTTGACTAAAACCAGTCACACAGTTCATTAAAGAGCAACAAATGAGATGGTTGAGCCAGCTGACTAAAACCAGTCATACAGTTCATTAAAGAGCAATAAATGAGATGGTTGAGCCAGCTGACTAAAACCAGTCATCCAGTTCATTAAAGAGCAACAAATGAAATGGTTGAGCCAGCTGACTTAAAAACCAGTCATACAGTTCATTAAAGAGCAACAAATGAGATGGTTGAGCCAGCTGACTAAAACCAGTCATACAGTTCATTAAAGAGCAACAAATGAAATGGTTGAGCCAGCTGACGAGAATGCACTGTTACCAGCTGCCACTTAGAGCCAGTAAAAAGAAATAAAGTGAACATAAAGCAAGGCAAAGATCATGCAAAGGACAGAATGAAGACATCAAGAACAACATTAAAGAAACGAAGACCAGATTAGTACAGCACATCAGAAAGAGTACACAGATGATTCCCCCCAACCCCCCACACAAAAAACATTGATGAGGTAACTTATCAACCTTGCTCAAAGTTATAAACCAGTCTCATTGAGAATCTACTCAGCTCCCTAATGACATATTCTACATTTATTGTTACTTGCTGCATCTTCTATTTTTTTTAAAAGTAGAATCACCTTTTTTATCCTTCTGCTTGTACCATGTAGCATTGCAGAGAGGGAGGTTGGTGTCTAATGTACCATGTAGCATTGCAGAGAGGGAGGTTGGTGTATAATTTTAATTATGTGTAGTTTTAATTTGTAGTTTCTGAATTCGGAGAACATCTGCCTGAAAGGCAAGAAGCCACAGACAAATTATTTAGAACAGATTGGCATGCAAAACTCTGGAAGAAGACTAAAATCCAGAGGTGGCCAAACAACCAGAACTTTCCACAGGAGTTTCGCAGCCGGTGAACACAAAGAGGAAGAATTGTTATCAAATTTAACTTGTTTAAGAGTCTCTTTGATTTCATCTAGCCTTCTGCTCTGTTAATCTCATGCAATATGCTTTTATTGCAGGTTGGTTGGGATCATTTCAGACTAGATGTCCAAACCATTTGATCCTTTGACAGTTGATACCATTGTAAAAATATATAATGTTTGTATATCCCATTCCCCTTCTTCCTGTTTCATCTGTAAACAGCTAACAGCAGTGAAACTTTACCAACAGAAGATCACACAGTTGCCCAACATTCTTTTGCTATGGCATCCAGGAAGAAGGTCTTATTGAAAGTCATCATTTTAGGAGATAGTGGGTAAGTGTTTTTGGTTGTTTTTGTTATCACATAATGAATCTGGCATCATATATTTGGTGCACTGCAAGGTGGAAAGGGGTCCTTAACTTGTTATTTCTTCTTCTTCTTCTTCACGTTCACCAGCTGTAAACTCTGGCGGAAGGTTCTGGTTGCTCGTCCACTACTGAACTGCAGTCCTGCTCCAGAACCTGAGTGTTGCGTGTGCATCAGTTTTACAGATCTCATTCTCTTGAATACAGACTGTTGGTTCCTTGCCTCTCCGGCAGATGCACTCCGACTTCAAAGGAAGCTTCCCGATTAGTCGACTCTTACGACATGCTTTTGGGGAGGCAGTGGGTTTATTCTTGTTTTCCCCACAATGGGGCCCCGGAACCCACACGGGGGACTTGTTATTTCTAATGTCTTTGACAACTGTTTTATGTTATTTTTAGCTTGTTCATCTTAGAGACATCATTTCACTAAAACGGTATCATGTCTGTTATTGTACGCTGTACTTAATCATTACAGATCTTTGTATGTTTATAAGTGGTTGTTGTTCATTTTATTCACCTTTTCTATGTTTTTGACATTTCTGATAGTGATTGCATGTATTTAAGGTTTATGTGTAAACAAATGAAGATGACATTAGAAATTAGGTGAAGAAAAGAACTGATTACACACATGAAAAGAAACAGTCTGTATAATATTCTTGGGACGCATTGCAAGTGCACTAAAGTTGGTGGGGAAGAGAGGCAGATGGAGACCAAGCAAATTATATGTGTGTGCATGTGTTAATACTAACAGCAGTACAACTACAATAACATATTTAATAGAATGCAACAGCTGTGATATGAAGAGCAACGTAGACAAAACAGAAGTGATGACATTCTCCAGAAAAGGAAGAACCACCAAAATCAAAATTGATAAACATCAGTTGAAGCAAGCAAAGGATTTTACATATCTGGGAAGCACTTTTCCAGGAGACGGAAACACAGAAGGTGGACCGCAGAAATATCAGAAAAGTACTTTATATGAAGAGAACAGAAGGGCCTGTTCCAGAGCTCTCTTTCTGCCCTAAGGCCGTCAGGCATTCCAGGAGTAGAGAAAAGAAGAAATGTTAATCCTGTGGGTAAGTACCTGATACTTTAGGTATGATAATCATGACTGTTATATGTCATATTCAGTATTTTATAACTGGAACATGTGTACTCAGCCAACTCATTTCAAGCCATGTGTGACCTTGTTTAAATCGAAATGCTATAGAATAATTTAGTTTCCGGTTGTCACACAAAATGACCTTCACTTTCCCATTTAAAAACTAGTAAAAATAAATTCAGTCTCAGCAGAGTCTTGAAGCTTACACACACACAACAAAGTAAATGCATAAGGCAGCTGTTTGATGTACCAACACAAACAAACCCACTTTGTTGTATTTTTGCCGACATTGGTGAGTGCTGTAGCCGGTCTGTTGGATAACTTACAGGACCGAACAATTGCTGACCGAGTTGTTATAAGGTTAGGCACTTATTTGATGGTCTATGCAGGCAGCAAAGACAGACTTACTTTTATGTTCTGTTGATATGATCTCATGGTTGTCAGAAAATGGTCATATGACAAGAAAAATAACATTAGAAAATATCATGATGACTAGAAAAATCAGTGGTAGAAGAGGCAGAGACAGACGAAGAGAAATGATGGCCAATGGCTTAAGAAAGTGGCATGGAGGAATATCATCAGTGGAGTTGATCAAGAACACCGGAGACCGAGATCTGTAGAGATGCATGAATACCTATGCCAGCTGGCAGGGCACTTGATGATGATATTTTTGTCACCGTTTTGTCATTATACAATTTTGGGCTAGTCTAAAGTATATTTAGAACATTGCATCATAAGCATACAATCAATTAATTAAGTGCTGTCTCCACAGTGAAAGTTGACTGTAATGGATTGTCATCATGCTTTTTTTCATCCCTGTTATACACTTTGAGGCTGATGTTCATCCATTTCTTGATATTATCCTTCCATTTGTATTGTTGGGAATCTTTTGCTTTCTTGCCTCAAATTCTCTTATCATTATGTGTTTGTTTTTTAAAATAAGAATTAGGCTCACACTTGAAAGATAATTCAGAGCTCGAAGGTATACAATGTATTAAAAGCCTTTGCAAACTGGCCTGGAATTTAAATATATTTACATGCACTATTATTAAAGTATGTAGTTCTGAATGGAACATTGTTTACTTGTATTTCAGTGTAGGGAAGACATCTCTAATGAACCAGTATGTAGCTAAGAAATTCAGTAATCAGTATAAGGCAACTATAGGTGCAGACTTTCTCACCAAGGAGGTGATGGTTGATGACAGACTGGTCACAATGCAGGTATTTCCATTACAGTATTGTTGTTTTGGTGTGGCTCATTGTGTAAAAGTGATTATTTGTGTGTGGATCCCCTCCCTTTCCCACTCTACATAATGCAGGCAAAGAAAATATGTTGGTCGTATGGACATAAAATAAATGTGATTGTCTCAGTGTAACATGATTTGCTTACTTTAAAAAAACGCCTTGTGATGTAACACACTACACGGTGTATATATACCAGAAGATGGGGTTATAGAGCTCAAGATAGACCAAGCACAGGGTGGAAAAATGATGATGTCAGAGAAACTCTACAATAATATAAAATGTTTAGTTTAGGCAGCCAAAAGAGCTAAAACCAGAACTTCCCTTTAAAGACAAAGTGGAAAAGAAATCTGCCTTTCATCCCCCAGTGCAGCATAGGCCCTCAGCTAAGTCACGCCAGATTGTCCTAGTCTTTGCTGTCACATGCAGCTCACTCCACATCCTCCCTTCTTTTTAACTTCTTTCTCTAGCTCCCTACTTTTTTTTGTGTGGGTTCCAGTGTTGTCATGTTTTCTCATCTTGTGTCCAATCCAGTACCTTTATATTTTTTTTCCCCTCTTTTTCTTTTCTCTACTTCTGGAATGCCTCTGGGCATTAGGGCAGGAAGATATCTATGGAACAGGCCCTTCTGTTCGCTTCGTATAAATTACATCTCCATGCTTCTATTTCTGTATTCCATATTCTGTGTGGTCGACCTCTGGCTCTGTTACTGCTGTATCCGTATAACATTACTCTCTGTGGTGCCCTGTCTGATGCCAATCTTGTTACATGGCAGAAACATTTGTTTTGTTGTCCACCTTTAAAGTTCAGTAATTGGTTCTGTGCTGACTCTCCTCCTGATATCATCGTTCCTAAGTCGATCTTTCCTTATTACATCTAGCATAGTACGTAAACATTTCATTTCTGTTGTGACTATTTTCCTTCTATCTTCTGAAGACCTCTTTTTTCATGGGAATTAGTTTAGCTCTTTCTCAGAGCTCCACATTAGTAGGAACTTAATAAACCAGTTTCATGATACCTGCATTAATGACATTCTTTCCTTTAACATGTGCAGACAATATTTTGTAACCATTCTACAGTTTTCTGTGTGTTGTTAATTTACAAATATACTAGTGGATCTGCCATTGTCTTCTTTTCATTGTGCATTCCATGTGGTATTAGAATTCATATCTGTCCACAACCTTCTGTCCCTTATACTACCAGTCATTTCTGACACAGATGATCTTCCATGCCATGATGTCAGAATCTTCTTACTCAATCCCAATTCCCAATGTACTTCATTTTTCCTTCCCATGATGTGACCAAACAATGTAGTCTCCTTTTGATGTATATTGTGAGTTAATTTCTTTCATAACATTTTCATTACTCTTTCTGTTTATTCGTAGTGTTCTCATAAATTGTCCATAAAACCAAATCTCTGCTTACAATGTTTTCATCTGTCCCCTTTTAAAAATATCCTGTAGATCTGGGACACTGCAGGTCAAGAGCGGTTTCAGTCGCTGGGTGTAGCATTCTACCGTGGTGCTGATGGCTGTGTTCTGGTGTTTGATGTCACCATGCCAAATACTTTCCGTTCTTTGGACAGCTGGCGAGATGAGTTTCTCATTCAGGCATCACCCAGGGATCCAGAAAACTTCCCGTTCGTTGTTATTGGAAACAAAATTGATTTGGAAAACAGAGCGGTAAGGATTTTTAAGAAAATTTTTCTCTTCTTGAAACATTGTTTTGTGTTTGATCCCCAGAAGTAGCAAAAGAGCAAAAACTGTGTACGCAAAAGAGAATACCACAAGTCAGAACAAAAAGACACGAAGAGGGTAGATCACAAGACAGACCAAAAAGACATGAATGGGAGAAGATCACAAGTCAGACGAAAAAGACAAATGGGGGGGGGGGTAAACAGGGGGATCAAAAAGGGGGGGGGGGGGGGGGGGGGGGGGGGGGGGGGGGGGGTAAACAAGGCAGACCAAAAAGATACGAAAGGAGTAGACAGGCGGACCTACAAACACTTGGAGTCACCAACTGGAAAGATAAGGCCAGTCACACAGATAAATGAAAGCATGTAAAATCTGCAGCTATAAACCTCAAGGGCTCAGAATGCTGAATAAGGAATATGGCTCGGCCGACCTAACCTTTAAAAAATGAATACACTGGGAACCTCGCTTAACGAGCATAATTCGTTCCAGAATCATACTCGTTAAGCGAAACACTCGTTATGCGAAGCAATTTTTCACATATAAATTAATTTAAAATAAGATCATGCGTTCAATGTCGAAAAAAATACTCACAAAATGCTATGTATACGTATCACTACAGCATTTATTTAAGGAAAATTATATACATATTTAAGGAGATTGAATCATCTTCATCTTTTCTTCAAACACGGAACGAACCCACATGGAATGCGAATTTGATTTGCAGAAGAAAAAAATGTTGAAATAATTATGATACATAGATAATTAATTCTTTTACTAGAAAGATGTCCAGAGACATTTGTTTTTGTCTACGCTTCAAAATTTGGCGAAAATGTGACAGAGCATTATCATTAAATTTGCAGCGCGCATAGCCACTTCCTTATTAGGGTGATGCTTCTCAAAGTGAGAAGCAACAGTTGCCCATGCTTTCAGCATTTTTCTTATTTTGCCAGAAGATTGTTGCTTTTCTGTTACCTTCTCCTCCTCTGACAAACTTTCCTCCAAAACGTCTTGATGTGAAACACAATGCAACTCCATTAGCTCTTCGATGGTTAGCTCTTGGCTGTGCTCTTCGACGTCACTATTATCCACCTACAATCCCATGATAGTGTCCAAAGACACACAATCTCATTGACTACAGGTTCCACAGGTACTGTCTCGAACCTCTCAAAGTCACAAATCGACAACATTCTCCGGCCAAAGCTTCCTCCAAAAAGAAGTTAGGCTTCTCTTGGTAACCCCTTCCCCCGCCTCGTCGTTCATCTTGAGGCAGGCAACGATGTAGAAGTGAATTTTTCCAAAACTCTTTGAGAGTGAGGTTGGTCCCTTCAGTCACCTGAAAACAATGCTCGAAGAGTGCATAAGTGTAGAGCTTCTTAAAGTTAGAAATAACTTGCTGGTCCATTGGCTGGAGTAACGGAGTGGTGTTGGAAGGCAGAAACTGGATCTTGATTAACTTAAATTCATCAGGGAGGTCATCTTGTAGGCCTGGAGGATTCATGTACATATGTCATGAAGTAACACAAATTTGAGAAAATGTGTGATCACAAGCGACAATGCTGTAACATGCGCAAAATCCGGGACTTCCCCTCTCCTCGCCAATAGTTATGCGAAACGTCGCTCGTTAAGAGAGTCATTCTTTTACAATTTGTTTTGCTCGTTATGAGAGGTGCTCGTTAAGCAAGGTTCTACTGTACTAGAGTCCTGGAAAGTGCCTAAGGAGGAAAGATGGGAAGATAAAGAGCTGATCACCCCAACATATGTTATGACCTTCTTCTTTCGTTCGCCTGAAATAAGTTATCTATATCAGCAGTTTTGTCTCTTGTATAAATTTCACTCTCGTTGTTAGTTCATTCAGTGGTCCATAGAGTTTACGTTCCACTGTTGTTCTTTCTGGCCAAAAGGTTTGCCTTAATGTGTCAAATTCGGTGCAGTCCTGGAGTACATGCTCTGTGGTCTGGGGCACATTTCCACAGGTGCACATGGCTGATACACCTATCTTGAATTTTGTGTACATGTGGTTACATAATCGGTTGTGCCCTGTTCTGAGGCGGAAGATAATGACTTGTTCTGGTCTGTCCATAATAAAATAGTCGTCTTGTGCTGGGGCTGGTGGTTTCCTGATCGATTTAATGATTCTTTTCTTTTGGTGGTATGTGACTGGTACATCTGGCTGCTCTTTTTTCGCACCTTCCCCTGCCAGTTGATCAGCTTTCTCATTTCCAGGCACTCCACAATGAGACGGTATCCACTGCATTACGACTCTTCGCTGAACGCTGAGTTGTGTCAGCAGTGTTTGCAATTCTGGTAGTTTCCTAGACTGGAGTGCTTCAAGTACTGATTTAGCATCTGTAAGCATTACCACATACTGTGAGCCAAGGTTGGTATTTAGCAGTTTCTCTGTAGCTATCTTAATAGCCTGGGTTTCTGCGTCGTAGTTATGGCAGTACTTCCCGGTTGGTACGCTGGACTTATCCCTAGTACCATCTGGGAATTCGATGTACACTCCAGCACCACCATTTCTAACTGCACTTTCTGCGGACCCATCTGTATAGACTCTGACCCATTGTTCTTGTGGGTATTCTTCATCAATATAACTGAGGGTGGCCATTTTGCGTTGTACACTATCTTGCTCTTTCTTGTCAAATATCCCTTTCACATTTGTCTGGATTTGTACCATTAGTTTACATTTTTCTCTCCATGGGGTTTGTTCCGGAATACTTTTTAGTGGGCAGCCAATTTCTGGAAGGTCAGGAGTTTGTCTACATATATACGCCATGGAAATGTTATGACCTAAAACATGTGAGGACCTAACACGTCATATTCTAACAAGTTTCTACTGTGGACCTTTTTTTTGTCTATAATTTTCATCATATATTAACAGAATAGTTTCTTCTTCCCTCCCTAATGCAGTGAACTTAATATGGAAGTCAAAGCAACAGTTAAAAATGGGAGTGGGGAGGCAGCTTATTGCATTAAAGCAACCCTTGAGAGTGGTGGGACAGCTTATTGCATTAAAGCAACCCTTGAGAGTGGTGGGACAGCTTATTGCATTAAAGCAACCCTTGAGAGTGGTGGGACAGCTTATTGCATTAAAGCAACCCTTGAGAGTGGTGGGACAGCTTATTGCATTAAATCAACCCTTGAGAGTGGTGGGACAGCTTATTGCATTAAAGCAACCCTTGAGAGTGGTGGGACAGCTTATTGCATTAAAGCAACCCTTGAGAGTGGTGGGACAGCTTATTGCATTAAATCAACCCTTGAGAGTGGTGGGACAGCTTATTGCATTAAAGCAACCCTTGAGAGTGGTGGGACAGCTTATTGCATTAAAGAAGTCATTTAAAATGAGGGGCAGTTTATTCCATTAATGCCACCCAGAAAATGGGAGTAGAGGGGCAGTTACTGCATTAATGCCACCCAGAAAATGAGAGTAGAGGGGCAGTTACTGCATTAATGCCACCCAGAAAATGGGAGTAGAGGGGCAGTTACTGCATTAATGCCACCCAGAAAATGGGAGTAGATGGGGCAGTTTACTCTATTAAAGCAGTCCTTAAAAAAAAAGGTTGGTGGGATAGTTTACTGTATCAAAGCATTACCTAGAACAGTCTTAGGAAAAGAATTTTCTTTGCTGTCACCGGCTGTGAACTCTGGTGGAAAGTTCCGGTTGTTTATCCACTTCAGGACTTTAGTCTTGTTCCAGAACTTGAGTTTGCGTGCACATAATTTTTACAGATCTGGCTTATTTGTATGCAGACTGTTAGTTTTTGCCTCTCTGGCAGGGGCACTCCGACTTGGAAGGAAACTCCCCTAATTAGTTGCCTTTGTTGACATGCTTGTTACGGTAGAGAATTGAATGCCAGATTAAAAGACCCTTACATCTTCCTCTTCCCACTTGTCCTGTCATGTCACTGTGGTAAGTGGCGGAAGAGAATAATTTCAGCATGCTCAAGCTATTAATAAATGTGAATAAACTACTAGAGATGTGGCTTTGGTGTGTGAACGCAGGAGTTTCAAAATGCTAACATAACAGGGTGTCAAGTACAGGCATATGCTTTGCATTACACAACAGTATAAGATTTCCATTGATTTTCTTGGTATATATTTTGGGCCAGGTGGACCTGCTTCTTCTTGTAATCACTCTCTGATTACACCTTAGATTATTTCTCATGATAAAATTGGAAGTTTTTTTTTTTTTTGAGTTCCTCTTCAATCCCAAACAGCTTTGAATATGGTGTTGACTGATTTGGGCCAGTATTCCCTTTCTAATGGGTTGTAAAAGGGACATGCTCTGCAGTTTTCACAGACAGCTCATATAGGCACAATGGTGAACTATGTAGATAAAGCCTGTACATATGCTTGTTAAGTTTATTGTGCCCTATCCTCAGGTGCATAATGATGACCCGTCCATGCTTGTCGGCGAGTGTGCTGGTCATTGTTGGACAATCTCTATTCACTTCTGATTACAGACTGGATTACTTTTGTTTTTTTCTCGGAGTATGATATTGCATTGTCTAGCAGTTCGCATTCTGTCCCTTTCTTAGCAAAGGCTAGACCTGGAACCTGTGGAGCTTCTGGTTCAGTAGTTAAAGTGTTGCGCTCTGATTTGGGAAACCCAGGTTCAAATCCTTAGTAAGATAATTTGATTTAACATTAACTGAATAGCTTTAATAAAGTTGTTTAAAACTAATGAATGTAAAATCGATTAGCATGTAAAATCTGCAGCTATAAACATTAGAAGTTATTATGCTGACATTCTGAAACCTGTATGTTATTATTTCCGTCTCAGGTCTCTGCACGTCGAGCTCAGGGATGGTGCCACAGCAAAGGGGACATTCCCTATTTCGAAACCTCGGCCAAGGAAGCCATTAACGTGGAGCAAGCTTTCCAGGCAGTAGCCAAAAATGCAATGGCACAAGAGACAGATGTTGAATTGTGCAGCGATTTCCCCGACCCCATCAAACTTAGAGATGATCAAACAAAACCGGCAGATGGATGCGCATGTTAAAACCTATCTTGTAGTTTGTACAGTCGTGCTGTTTGTATAGTCTGTTACAACTCTGCCAGTATCTTATTATGATATTCTTCATGATTGGGGGGACAGTCTGCAATCCTAATTTCAGATGTTTTTGTTAATTGTGTCTCCTTTCTCCAGCTTCATCTTTTATTGACTTCTTTCTCATGCTGCGTCCTTCAAGAGGACAAAGTAAAAACACAATGATGTTTTTCCCCGCCACAGAAATGAGTGGAACTGTAATGCATTTTGTTTATATTTGATAACAGGTCTTTTCCATTATGTCTTTCATTTATCTGTATGATGCATGTGTTGTTAAAACATGTCAGTTTGTTTGTGGTCCCTGTCGTTTCTTTGTTTCTGGAAAAAGTGTGTTTGTGTGTACTTAAATAGTGAGTGAATGCCATGCTTTTCTCAGTACATATTTCTAATCATTTGTTCTGTTGGAGCTGAGGAAGTGTAGTGGCTAGCATGCTCGCCTGATGGTCATTCATTGTGACTCCCTCAAAGTATAAGATTTATTCTCTTTCTGTTTTTCTCCCAAAACTTGAGCTCATGGGTTGACCCAGCTGAAAATTGCCACCAGTAAAACGGCAACTAAGTAAAGTCCTCACATGTAAAGGCAGCCGGGGTGATGTTCACCACATCACCCACCAGGTGGCGATTGCTCGATAAAATATATGGCCTAGACCTGTAGGGCCGAAGGCGTGGAAAAGCGGTCCTTAAATGTTCATTCGGGAAAGTAGTGGGTGGGATTAAAAGCCTTGTTTGATCACATCAGTGAAGTGTTGTTTGGTTTAGCACCATATGTCAGCGCCATGGTATAAAGTAAGGTCCTATCCACTAACTGGTGTGCTCTCAGTTTTTCCGTAACCTCTTGTGTCATTTTTAACGAGTAACTAAAAGAAGGGAGCTGTAATAGCACTGTGATGGTTAGATTCCTTGCTTGAATGTCTTGGGTACAGATCTGCATTGTGGCTAGATTTTTATATTTGACCTAGGACTACAAAGTCAGCCTAGTCTAAAATGGTCACTATGGAATACCCTGATGGGGGGGGGGATGGCTGACTCAAAAAATATTCTAACACCAAATGCCCTTTTTGCAGTGGTACGAAAGGGGTCATCTGGTTTTTTTTTTTCTTTATTATTAAATTGACAGTAAAATGGTATATAACAGTTATTCCCAAAGTGAATGTGTACAGTTTCCAGTATACATTAGAATGTGTATGCTCGTGTCTTGATATAGTAACACTATATAAAGTTTAGGTGATCAGAAAGCAGTACCTAGTCCAATGTTGGGGAAAGGCTAGCTAGCTATTGAAGCATTGAAAAGTTTACTTCTGGCCATGGTTTGGGGATGCAGATTGTCATTTTGGACTAGAGTGCAAAGGTTGCGTCCGAGCTTGGTACTTGGTGCAACACTGTGAACTATGGATTTTATGTTTAATATTGTTTTTCTTCTGTATCCGCAGTGATGTGAACTGCACCACAAATGGTGGGCGACTGATTACATTACACTGGCATGTACTTCGTATAGTGCTGCATGTGCAAATACCGATTTGTTATGACTGACTGCTTCTATTAACAGTAAGTTGCACTTCTATCGGGGGCCTGTTAGTGTTGGCACATTCAGCCAGATCCTGTGGTCACTCCCTGCTCCACCATTCTCTTCTGGTGATTTGCATTGTTCACTCACTCCCAAAAAGGCCTTGATAATATCTAGCTTGCCATTTGCTTGATACCACCCTCAGAAGTTGCCGCAGTAGTTTTCTCTACTGATATGTACAGGTATTCAGCAGCTAGCTGCAGACTGAACAGGGCTAATTTGTTGTCTTTTGTTACTAATCTCCAGCCATACCATATGAGATTACGTTGTCTTTTGTCTGCTGCTGCTAACAGTTAAGTAACATATCCTCTCCCTTTCCCCCAAAATAGTTGGTATTCATATATCAATTTCAAACAGTCTTTATTTTATAATTTTTTCTGCATCATGTACATTGCTTATATTTTGGCACTACATTTTAGATGTTCTGTACATAGTTTGTAAGCATTGCTGCTATTACTATAAGGGTATTGTTACATTTATATCTGTTTGTTAATTTGATGAACTTTAATCAGCTGACTTGTCATTTCACATGCAATTGTGTGGAATACTGTATTTACCTAGTATGTAGTTTGTAATTTGTTTGTTTCATAAAAGAGGTCACTGTTGATGTGAAAATGGTTTATTGACTAAATTAATGTTCAAACGACCCTAAGAGCTATTGCTAGCACAACCACTAGCAGGGACGGTCAGTGGGTAGAGAACAGATAGGAGACACCTTCATCCTACAGGTTAGGGGCTGAAAAATTTGCCCCGACATGCCTACCTTTGTAAAACCGTGCTTCGTCAAGAAACAGATATCTAACCCTTGAATTCTGAGAGAAGAGATAAATAGAGGCTAGCGATACCTACAGCAGTAAACTTCAAAATCTTGATGACCTTGGTTTAAATAATAATCAGTACAAGCCTCATCATGCTAATAAATGGATTCGGAGACTTTGCTTTGGTCTTTTGTTTTGTAAATACATTCAGGGTGTTTATTTAAAATGAACATTGTCGGTTATTAAATGTTAATAATTACAGTGTTGTAATTACTCATGTATTGTTAGCCGTGGCCATTTTTTTTATTGAAATTGTGCTTTCTTTATGTTAGCATCTTTCATGTTCTGGTGTTGCTGCTGAAAGTACTGAGTATCCATTGATTTAGCTAAAAATCACTGTCTGTTGACATGCAGGTTTTTTCTAAAGGAGCTATAATCTATTGCTTATATAGTAGTCAGCTCCACTTTATCTATTGGACATGCACTTCTTTGTGGCACCACAGACAGTTATCATAGTTGCCTTGAGTCAGTCTGGAATCATGTTTGAAAGCATGAGAATGATTCATTTCTTTACTTCTGTAGTGTGCATGCTGGCCTCATTATCCGGGGTGTTTAGTGAAGTCTTGTTTGTTCCTTGTGTGTAAAATCAAGAGGATCGACTTCATTTTGCCTGGTTAACCTGTGTGGCCCAGTCTCTTTCAGCAAAGCGGCTAGCCACCTGTTGAGAGCATCACACAAAACATGGACTCTATAGCTTCAGAGACAGTTCTGGTTGTTTGTCCACTTCTAGATTTTAGTCTTGTTCCAGGGCTTTATTCTTTGTGCACATCCATTTTACAGATCTGGCTTATTTGTATGCAGACTGTTGATTCCTTACCTTTCTGGCAGTTGTAGTCAGACTTTGAACTAAACACCTAAATAGTAGGCAGTGGGTCTGCTTTTTTTTTTGGGGGGGGGGGGGGGGGGATCCCACTTTGGGACCTCAGCACCCAAACAGGGAGGAACCGAATGGCATGTCTTTGAAACCACACCACAGCCTTCTGAGCATGAGACACACAGCTTGGCCACAAAGATTTCTGTGTTCTTCTTTTGTTGTCTCACTGATACCAGATTGTAGCCCCGTTGTCTATATTTATCTTGCACTTCTTGGTTGACTTGTTTGATGGATTTGCATTTTTTTTTTTTAGTTTGCAGCAGAACCATATATCCATCTCTTTCATGGTCTTCCCCACGCTTTCAGGTGTTTTGCTATAAATAAAAAAAAATCATAAACTGTCAATATAATTCAGACTGTTTTATTTCAGTTATTCGGAACTATGTTCCTTCTTGTGTTGTTAATGACCCTACAGAGACAGCATATTTCACAAGTAGCTTTTATAAACAATTTTTTTTCTTTGTTAATTTGGTATCTGACGGATTTCTGTCTGCCATCTCTCAGTTATTGCTCTCAATGTGCACCTATCCTGTTTGTCGGGTATCTGTCTTGAAAGTGTGCGTAGCTAGACTGCATAGGAGTATATTTTGACCGCCAAAATGAGCAATATTAATATTTAGAGAGATGCTAACACAAATAGTTTGGAGATAGACAACCCTAGAGTGTGTTTCTTTACATGTTTATTTTTTGTCTTGGCATGGTACTGGAGATTACAGCAGAATGAGGAGAAACATTGATTATGCCAGTTAACAAGCATCTCTATCTTCTTGATATGTTAAGCACTCTCAGGCATCTCATCTCAGTTGTAATCTTTCTTTCTCATTTTTTTTCTATTGGTAATTATAGTGGTGAGTGCTCTCGATTTACGCCCATAATCCTCAGGCTAAACATAATGTTGCCCTACACCACCCTAAAAAGGTCGATGTTAGGAGCTGTGAAAGTCATAAATGTACGTATGTTAAAGTAATAATACCAGAAGCTGAACGAGTTTTGATGATGTCATAGGTAATTTTTAACATATAACTAAGAGAAGTAAGAAGTCAAATATAAGCATATTATAGAATTGTCACATGGTCATGTTTGTGATATTAATAAAATCGTTTGTGGAGTACCTGTGTGGTTTATTGTTAGTCAGAAAGTGATGCACGTGTAATCCATGTATAATTCTAAGTATATTGATTGTACGAACAACTTAATAAATGTCTGGGAAAAATTCTTAATTATTTTGGTAGCATTGTTTGCACGTTTTAATTTTATATCTCAACAGCTGTTTTAGTTCTTGGTGTGCAAGCTTGTGCAGACAGTAAATAGGGGTAACTACAGTTGAGTTGATGACAGTTAGTTAGTTAGTTGCAGAACCAACCCACCATTTTTTTATTTGGTTTTCCAAGGCAAGTTTATGCCCAGTAGTTTGCCATTGCTTTTTGGACGGTCAGCTTCTCGATACCACTGTCGAAACCAACGCAAGGCTTGCTTGTTCTTTTCTATTAACTGTTTAAGTGTAAAGATTGCATCTGTGCAGCTTCTATTTCTCCTAAATCCCATCTGTTCTTCTGCCAGCTGTGGTTCTATCACTGGTCTCAGTCTTGTTTCTATTATCTTGGCATACATTTTGCCAACATGGCTTAAAAGAGAGATGCCTCGGTATTGACCGCATTCTCATTTGCTTCCTTTGTTCTTCCACAATGGTATAACT